ACACACACATAAATATATATATATATATATATATATATATACACTCTAAAAAAAGATGGTTCTTTATGTGTAGTAACGGTTCTATTTAGAACCACAGCATCCTGAAGAACCCTTTTATGCTGAAATGGTTCTTTGTGTTAGAGTTTAGGGTTCTTTAAGGTTCAACTACGCAGACTGTCAACACACTCTCAACAGGTAAATGATTTCATCAGCAGCTCTGTTAAGATGAGGATACTTCTCTCTGTAAGTAAGTAACAGAGACATTGAATTTATAATACATATTGTTAGAATTTTTTTATTTAACTCTAGAACTCTATATTCTATTTCTATTCTATCTACTTGTTTTCTTTTTAATTATTATAAAAAAATAAAAATAAATAAAAGACCTTGCTATGTATACTGCGTTAGACTTACCGGGACTAGTCACAACAATATATTGTTGCTCTTTTGTCACATTCTGTCCATTTTTTCTTTTGGCCTTCGTAGACATTATTGTTTTTACATAATCAAATGGACAGCTCAAAACTCAATTGTGTATTTCAGATGCATCACGTCCCATAACTTCTTTATGTATTTATTCATGTTCAATGTCAACTGTCAACTGTTGTTAAGAGCACTGACATTTTTTGTTACAATTTCACGTCAATAAAAAAGTACCTAATTCACACAATATGTTGTTGTTGTTTTAATGTAAATCCCTAATAGAGGCTACACACACACAAAAAAAGAAGAAAAAAAGATGGCTCATTTCTGATTTTTTTTGGACCTCAGCCATCCAACTACACAGACTGTCAACACACTCTCATCAGGTAAATGATTTCTTTCTTAAAATGTCTATTATTTTAACTTTCAAACTGTACCTGGTTTCCTACCAATCATGTCTTTTTCTCTTTTTAGTTTAAGAGAACATGTAAGTGTGACCAGCTCTGTCAGTTAAGGATACTTCTTTCCCCATCTCCACTAAGTAAGTAACAAAGATATTGAATTTATGGTCCATATTGTTAGATTTTTTTTTTTTTTTTTATCACTTGGGTTTATGCATAACATAACC